GTCGCTCCGGACCCAGATGGGCTTCTCGCCCCCGCGGAGCCGGGCGGCCCCGGCGCCACAGCCCGGGAATGAGAGACCCGGGCTCTGATCCCGCCGCTTACGGGCCAATTGCTGCTCTTCTCTGCGCCTCTTGCTCTCCTTCGTAGAGAAGGAAATATGGGATTAATAATACAAATCTCAGGATTATTGTGAGAATTAAGGGCGTAAAACGCTGAGGTCAGTATCTGACACGCACAAAATAAATATTTAACCACTGAATGGAATAACTAGAAATATTTACACCCCCACCCTCGCCCCAGAGATCCAGGAGGGGAGGTGTGTCCCTTGCCCTTTAAAGCTGCAGGTGGTGGATAGGAAGAGGGATTGGCTTCGAAATTAGGGACTTCCCAGGAGCCGGCGTCGTTTGTCTCGCCTCTGTTTCCTGAGGGACCACAGGGCGCCGCGCAAGCTGTCGGTTCCTAACCCTCCCTCCTGGGAGCTGTGTTCTCCAGCGATGCTGAGGAGAGAGGCTTTCCTTCTGCTCAGGCAGGAGTGTGTTTGGCCTCAGCACTGCTTTGGAATGTAAATCCGAGCTTGAGCAGTCCAGCCCCTTTCCAGCTGCCCTTTCAGAAGAGGAATTTATTTCCTTTTCCTGTGCGTTCATTTAACGTCTGATTAGCGATGTTAATCTCCAGCGACGCCGGAGCCTGCTAGAGAGTCGGGTGTCTCCAGGTGATGGCAATTCGCCATAAAATGGCCTCCCTGTGCCTCCAGATCTTGCATTCTGTGGTCAGCTTGGGCCCAGTTCCACGCGCCCTTCCTTGGCCCTGGAAGTGATGAGGAGAGAGATCAAAGGGGCTTTCTCTGATTTATGTCCTTAGTCTTACATATTTTAAAATAGAAGTAAAAACCAATTGCAATGCATGCCAAGGGACTAACTTTTTTTTTCCCCCTCTAATTCGGTTACAGATTTCCCCCGCTATCTGAAAGTATAGCATTCCCATGGAACCTTTGGTAAACTGAAAAGGCATAAAAGGAAGGAGCAATTACCATTAATTTATATGGGAAAATTTTTTGAACCTTCCCAGACCAAAAAAATAACCTACCAAGATAAATAGAGATAAAGCACAGATGCTCACACAGTTCAAAGCTGTGGCGGCTTGAGGCTGCGAGGCTGAGTGCAGTTCCAGGGGAGGGAGCTTGGCGGCGCCACTCTGGCTACTAAGAGTGCCACCCGCCTCTATAATTAACTGGCTGCAAATAAAACCCTGGACGCTATTTTCTCTTTTCACCTTTTTTCCTTAAAGTGAAAATGCTCTTCAGATTTCTTTCAGTTAGCAAAAACAGGTACTCATGTTAGGTCTTTCGAAAAATCTAAGTGGCGTAAAGCGAACTTTCACATACCAGGGGAAACGTATATTTCTAATTTTTCTTGACCTAAGTGAGCTGGGATCTAAAATCTAGAATGAAACATTTTTGTTGTCATGGTATTTCTCATAATGGGATTGGTCCTGCCTGTAACTCATATTCTCCACCTACTTATTCAGGTTGAGTAGCTATTTCAGATTTTATCAACTTCCTTAGTCATCAGTCCAACCTCTGCTGACACTGTTGAAAACCTCTTTTGTGACATCACCAACCTAATCTCTGTTCCATGTTATAGACTGTAGCAAAATATTTCACCTTCTCTGGACCCTACGATTAAGCAACCTTAAAGAGAAAGTAAAAAAACCAAAAAAATAGAGTCAATTTTAGCCTAAGTTACTGTTATTGTCCGTGGCCTTCCATCAGGAAATGAGAACTAGGAAGGAACCAACCATTCGGACAGATTTCTAACATAACTCTGCTACTTCTTATTTGAAAGGTGGTTTTGTTTTTTATTTTCTTGTGTTACAGGATTGAGGCACTGAGAACGTGCAAAATGGCACCGGGGAGCGTGTTCAGGACATTGAGGCTGGGTAAACAGAACCAGGTTGATGAGTACTACCTGTGTTCTGTCTCAGCCATGCCTGGGGAGAAGCTTTTCTCTCTCTCCACATGCCCACGAGGGTGTTGTGGTGGTTGCAGCCTTCTCCTTCTGTGCTCTGCCTCTTTCTCCATGATCGCTCTCCTCCTCAGAAGTGAAAATCAACTCAGTCGATGTTAATATGGTCTGGGAGCAGGATAGAATTCACAGCCAAGGTAAGGTCCAAGAAGGAGCAGAGTCTCAAAAAGAAACAAGGTTCTAATTTCTGGATACCAGGAGCAAAATCTCACAATTTCAATTCCAAGAACACTTCCTAAGCGTTTATTTATATGTAAGTCATAATGCTAGGTGGAAGCAAAGAAAATAACCTTTATTTAAAACGCACTAGAGCCAGTCCTGATGGCCTAGCAGTTAAGGTTTGGCGCACTCCACTTTGGCGGCCCAGGTTCGGTTCCCAGGGGCGGAACCATACCACTTATTTGTTAGTAGCCATGCTGTGGCCATGGCTCACATAGAAGAACTAGAAGGACTTGCAACTAGAATATACAACTATGTACTGAGGAGAAGGAAAAAAAAAAAAGAAAGAAAGAAGATTGCCAACAGATGTTAGCTCAGAGGGAAACTTTCCCAGGGGAAAAAAAAATGCACTAAGAGCCCAAAACAGGAAATCTGTCAACGTAGTCTTCACAATCCTGGAGGCAGGTAGCATTCACCTCAATTTTACAAATATGTAATTTGAGATTAAGAAAAATAAAGCTAATACATAGCTTGGCTAGAATTGAATCATGGCTGCCTGATTCCAAAGCCTGTATTATTGCTACTAGGTGAATCTGCTCATTGAGCATGACATCTCATTTTGTTTAAGGATCTGTTTGATTCAAAGAGAGACCTCTCAAAGAAGATAGGAGTAGGGGCAGTCATATATTTTGCTAGCACATGGTCCTGCTGTTCTTTCTGTACTTATTCAAGAATGCTAGTATTGGGCCAGTCCCGTGGGCAAGCGGTTGGGTGTGCACGCTCTGCTTCTGCAGCACGGGGTTCATGGGTTCAGATCCCAGGCGCACCGATGCACCGGTTGTCATGCCACAATGTGGCGGCGTCCCATATAAAGTAGAGGAAGATGAGTGTGGATGTTAGCTCAGGGCCAATCTTCCTCAGCAAAAAAGAGGAGGATTGGCATGGGATGTTAGCTCAGGGTTGATCTTCCTCACACACAAAAAAAGAATGCTAATATTTTCTGTACTAGAACTATATTCTGGGTGTGCTCTAAATACATTACATGCATTATGTCACTTAATCCCATAATAACTCTATGAAACCAGTACCATTATTACTCTATTTTACAGATTAGAAAAACCAAAGTAAATAATTTTTCACACAGTCACCTTGCTAGTGAAGAACTGATTCCAGAAGCTGTGACTTTAACCTGGGTACTATGCCACCTCTCATGGGTAGAGCCCTAGGGAGTAGGTGGTACTCTTGACCAGTTCACACTTTAAAAAAAAGTGGGTTCTAGAGGATGGTGCCTGAAGAATGAGGTGACTGAACATGGCAAGTACACATGTCTAGAAGACAAAGTTGACCCAGCATCAGGATTTCTGCGCCTAAGAGTCATTTTCATCCTCTCATTTGATTCTGTTCTTACCACTAAATTTTTTAGATTGTCAGATCTGGACATGAGCTTAGAATTCACATAGCCTCTATCCCCAGCATTCTGTAGATGAAAAAATTGACAGCCAGAGTAGGGAAGTGACTGGCCCAAGGCCATCCAGCTCCAGGCTAGGAGAACACGACACAATAGCTTAACCTAAGTCCCAACTCTTCCTGCTATAGGCACCTCCTCTCTATTTGAATATTTAAATATGCTTCTGCCACCCTCCCCATAGTATTTTCTCCAGCCCTCTCTTTATCTTTCTCTTTTTCCATGGTTCCAGTTCCAAACACCACCCATTCTCTCTCCCCTAGCTGTCCCACTAGGAAACTAACTTCTATAGCAATACGATCATCAAATCTAACAGCCATTTCTCAGCCTCATCCTCTTTGCCCTGTCTAGCATGGGATGCCCCCCCTCAACCCCCAGTTAACCATCCTTCTTTCCCCCCTCCCCTTTCAGGGCACTTCTCTATTCTACGTTCCTTTTTCTGACTGTACTTTCTCATGATCTTTACCTGGCTCCATTTCCCTCCCTTGCCTGCTAAACCCAAATCTCCCCACAGTTCTGCAGTGTGCCTGTTCCTCTTTCTCCGTTTCCCTCATGCCTTCTCCTTGTCCCTTCTTTAGGAAGCCTTTTCTGACCACTTCTAAGAGAACTGAGCCCTCCTTTCTTGTCCGACACACAGATTTCTGTGTTAGAGCTCACAACACTTTATACTACTTCTTTGTTTAGAAATCTGTTCCCTGCTTCCTAGATATAAGCCCCTCAAGGGAACAGGACCCTGTTTGTTGGACTTGGGATCCAGGCACTTAACAGGCCTTAAGGGATGTTTATTGAATGCCTGAAGGGCTCTCCAAAATCTTGAGCTGCAATATCCTTCCTGAGATTCAGTCCATAATTTCCTCTGGATGCCGTAATGGAATCCTGACCTTGGTATATCTAGAATTATACTTATCGCCTTCCTCCATCATCTCAGTACGCTGCCTTTCTTGTTTTGACAAAGGCAGTCATTGATGTATTAGAATCACCTGGGTTGCTGTAAAGAGTACTGATGCCTGGGTCCCCCCCTTAGAGATTCTGGTTTAACAAACCTGGGATGCATCAAGGGCATGAAGATTTTTAAAGGTCCCCAGATGGGCTAATGGTACCATAATTTCCTAAATGAAAAATCTTAAAGTTA